CTGGTGTAATAAATATAATTATCCTGTGATGATGGATATTCTGCCCGTAATTATAATTAGCTCACTAAGCAAGCCTATGTTGGCTAATTAGGCTCCATTTGTTGTTCATCTTGGGCATCATTTGATTAATTGCTTTGCTGATGCACTTGTAAGTTGTAACTGTTTTCATCAGATATTTAATAGAAGAGTACAATTAGTACCTTTCTCTACTTCTATGTTTATTTCTCCTTGGTGCTAAAACGCAACTCGCTAATTTTATAAAATATAGTTTATTAAAACCATATAAAATACATGTACAAGGAGATACGACCAATTCAAGTTCACAATTTCATATAATTAATTTTGTAACATGTACTTTTAAAATGACAATACTCTTCTTGTTCTCGAAAAGGATGAAAGTTTCATTTTTTGGTAACGTAATAGCATTTCACTATATCATAAGATATTCAGAATAGTTCATTCTTTTGACCATAATCTAAGAATTATATTGAGCAAAATTCATTCATTTGGAGTTCGTTTAGTCATATGTGTCGAACAAATCAACTGTTATGGTATAACAAGTAGCATCATCAAGGAAATATTGTCACATTAGTCTAAAAAAAAGTTAAGTGAGTTTGGACGAGAGTAGTATTAGGATGGTTGACTTCCTAGAAAATCCTTGTGTTGCATCCCCCTGAGGGCGAGCCTTGGCCAACGGAAAGGTTGCTGAATTGTGATTGAAATGTCACAAATTCGAGTCGTAAAAATAGCCTATTTGCAGAGTAAAAGTACATTCCCTAACCTCGCAAATCAGGAAGCCTTGTTGACTTGGGTCGCCTTTTTAGTCTCAAAAAAGTATTATCCTTCTAAAAATAATAGCATGGAAGATAGATCATATTGGCATCTTTGGCTGGGTCAAATTTAACAATTGGAGGTCTTTTAAGTTGGTTATTGTTTATAGCCCGAGACTAATAAGAAAAAATGGAATAAAAACAAACGATAAGACCATTTCAGCATTCAATGATTCCATCATATGAGAAAATCTTCCTATTCCCCTACCTATAAATATGCACAATAGCATCAGAGCCAACTTCAATTAAATCAACCACTTGCAAATACATAGCATACACTCAAAAGAAATTGATAGCTAGTAGCTAGAAATGGCAAGGAAGAGAAAAGTTAGTGAGGGAGTGGAAGACTACACTACTACTTCAGGTGAGGGAACCATGGCTTGGGATGAGATGGTGAAGGAAGCTTCCGCTGTCGCCGAGCTAGGTGGAGCACGTAGGGCACGAAAGCGCTTTGTTGGTGTCCGGCAAAGACCCTCCGGCAGATGGGTGGCCGAGATTAAGGACACCATTCAAAAAATTAGGGTTTGGCTAGGCACCTTTGACACAGCGGAGGAAGCAGCCAGGGCCTACGACGAAGCTGCCTGCTTGCTTCGCGGTGCCAACACCAGAACCAACTTCTGGCCTTGTTCCCAATCGCCATCTACAACTCCAGCGTTGCCCTCAAAGATCACAAACCTCCTCCTCCAGAGGTTGAAGGCAAGAAACAACGCCATCTCTTGCTCTCCTCCTCCTGCTGCTCCTCTCCCTATCAACCACCACTACGATCAAAATCTTCACGAACAAGCAACAGAAACCGATTTCTCCGAAACCCAATATACAGATTTTCTCAACGATCCCGAAGATTATTATATCACAAGCAACAACAACCAAGAAATTATCACTGATCACATCAGTGCAAGCAGCATTGACTACATGACGTCGAGCTTCGAATCATGCTTGACTGACAAGGAAACTGATCACATGGAGTACGGTAACTTGAGTGAAGTGGCGCAACAGACTTGTAGCGGCGAAGATGCAAATTTCGCAGCGGAAGGATCGGAGGCAGATGTTGATCAAGAACAAGAAGAAGAGGAGGAAGTGAACGGAGATCAAGTTGGAGTGATGGACTTCCAGTTTGTCGATGATATTGGAGCATCCAACTCGACCTACTACTCTCCGTCGCCTTTCGAGATTGCTGAGGAGATAGAGGAGCCGGTTCTGGAGGCTGAGAGCTATGCTGATGAGCCTTCGATGCTGAGAGCCGCCATGAAGAGAATGAAGTACGAGAGGAAGTTTTCGGCTTCTCTCTACGCCTTCAATGGGATTCCCGAGTGCTTGAAGCTGAGAATCGGATCGGGGAATGGGAAAGGGAGAGGGGTGTCTGAGTGTTTGAGCAACCTTCAGAGAGCGTGCAGTAACAAGAACAAAGAGGAGGAGGTTGTTACTGTAGCGGCGGCGGAACACTCACGAAATGATTCGAAACAGGAGGAGCAGGGTTCATCATCAATGGATGTTTCTCTGAGTAGTGATGGTGAATTGTCACTCTGGGGCTCACTTGATCTGCAGCCAATCTGCTTTTTGTCAACTAAGTAGTCTTCTTTCTTTCTTTTTTTTAACAAATTCATGCTCTAATTTGATTCCACACATCAATTTGGAATTCCATTCTTTGCAATATTTTGTGATATTCTAATATATTTCAAAGAAATAGTGAATTTTATGTAATTTGAACTTTGGGTTCAAACTTCCACCCAATTAAAGTAATAATAAGGCCTCGTTTGGCAGCTCAGACTGTACTGACTATTTCAGTCGGATAGGATAATCTGTCACCAGACTGTACTGACTAAATTAATCAGATGTTTAGTGCAGTATCGTACTAATGACCGTATTATTTATAATCTGTTTGTTACCGTATCGGATAAGAGATCGGATTGTATTATTTTTACCAAAAAATTGATGACTAATGAAAAAAAGGAATTTTTTTTTATAAAAATTCACAACAACCAAATGCATCAAATTAAATAAAAATAATCTTAATATTGCATTTTCTATTTGTCCTTTATTTAAATCAAATTATAAAAAAAAATATATCCTTTCTTCCCCAGATCTTCTCCACTGCACAGGATTCCCCAGGATTCACCACACCAAATGGGATGGACAATAGAATCAACATAGACCCTATACCCAATAGCATGAGACTTCTTCCCAAATGTTCTATGCATGTGAGATTGCTCCCTAATCTCTCGCATTTCTTTCCATGAGGAGTCAACCCAATTCCAACGGTGCTGCGGCGATGTTAGGCAGTAGGTGAATGCAGGCGGTGCTCCAACGACGTGGGTTTCAGTTGGATCTAGTTCAAATCCAGGATCGATGGCATGCGAACCCGTGCGGGTCCCGCGACGAGGAACTACAAAGGAGGGCGACGGCCGCAACGAGGAACTGAAGAGAAGGGTGAATGGTATGGAGTGCAAAAGGAAGAAGAATGGAGGAGGAAGAAGAACCTGGGATTGACGATGGCAATGGAAGTGAGTTTGCAGAACGATGCGAGAGAGCCAGTCGATAGAGCGAGGACACCGACCCGACTAAATAATACATAGGTTTCTGGAAGGATAAATAAGCGGGCATACACCGGATAAAATATGTGGGCCCAGTTTAAGTTATACGAGTACTATTTAGTATATAGTTGCACCAAACACTCGGCTCCGTATAACGTATCCTATCTGATTTCTTATACGGGCTGCCAAACAAGGCCTTAGGCCTTCTATTTTCTCCTTTTATGTTCTTCTAATTTTTCGAATTCGTCTAATAAAAGTGGCAAGTACAGAAATAATTTCCTATAATTCTTTAAAAAAATATAAGAAGTAAAAAAAAGAGCAGGTTTTATTAAATATTTGATTCAATAATTTGGAAAATTGAGGTTTTGTTTGGTGTGTAATGGACATAAACCAAGGGAAAACACATGTTAGACAAACACAACCCGAACAAATAATCTGCAACATCCTTTTAAAACTGAGCAATTCAGAGAGCTGATGAGCTCTACATTCTTATAAACTTTTTTGACGTTGAACAAATCGCCGAATGGATTGACAACAAAATGGAGTAAAGGAAGACAAAGAGGCGTAGTGTGAATTATCATATTTAATGTGCGAGTTCCAATTTGCATCACTTTTGGAATATATTTTTAAGAGCTATATCTCAGACCATAATTATGTCATTGTTTCAATGAAAATGGAGAAAAATTATCGTGTGGTACTGGAACTAGGGGTGGGTTCGAAAAACCGAACACCGAACAGAAGTTGGAAAAACTGAACCATAAAAAAAAGAAAAAACCAAACTGAATTTTTAAAAAACTAAACCGAACCGAACCGAAATTGGTTGGTTCGGTTTCCTTGGTTTGAAAACCGAAACGAATTGAACCAGACCGAATAATCCCTTACCGTAAAACGACGTTTTTTTGAATTTTGACTATGAGTTTTCAACGGTTTTAATTTCTCGGCATAGTTCATTGTTGATATTGTTTCTGATAAAAATTAACGACCGAAGTGTGTGAATCTTAGTTTGTTTTATTATTTTGGTTTTCAATGTTTTCTCAGTACTCTACCAGGGTTTTATTTCTTAATATTTTTCTCATGGAATTAATAAAGTAAAAACTTTAATAGATGCGATAAATGATGAGCTAGTAAGAAACGGAGAATCTCTTACAAAGAATCTTGGTGCAACTATGGTGGCATGAAGGTGACGTACTTGAACTCTGATGTACCCTAAATCAGCTTAGGGCTGACGATGCATATCCACACTAATCGGCCATACAACGTTTCATAATTTCTTGATACTCAGTATTGTTCGCCTACACAGATTTCTCTTGCACAAGCCATTTTGGCTCCGCTCTAACCACTCAAAAAACCAAACCGAACTGAAAAAAACTGAAAAAAAATCAAACCGAACTGAACTTAACTGTAATTTCGGTTTGGTTTTGAGTTCGGCCAAAAACAGAACCGAACGGAACTCACCTGTAACTGGAACACCGCCATTACGCATCCCACTATGTCCTGTTTAACCACAGGGGATCATAACAGGCAGGCAAAAGTTGGAAGTAGGGCTTTTGGACTGGAGATGAGTAAAGAGAGCATAAAAGAAGGTTTCAAATGATTTGTATCGATGATGGTAAATCATCTACAACTACGAGCAAAACAATTTGTCGTCCAAGGATACGAACCCAGAAAGTTTGCATTAAAGCATTTCTCCAAAGGAGGTTAGTTCGTTCTTTCGTACAAATTTGTTCGTAACGACGAAAATTCAGGACAGACCACTTCAAATACCAAACTAGAAATGACTCGGCCAAGGCCAGTGTGGTATGCTGGCTCAATAACAACACGATTACCCGTATAAAACTGGGGAATGCGACGTAAACAAGTAAAGCAGCCCAAACTGGACAGGTTATATATACACATTGCAAGGTTTTTTTCACAAGCGTCGTGATGGCAAGGTTTTTTCACAAGCGTCATGATAGATTCACAAGGGACTTGTTGAAGGCCTGGCTCTCTGCCGCTAAAGGACGCGAAGTTGGGCAAGGAAAGCGGCACAAAGATCCAAGAAGAGAAACTGCGGACCTTGGACCCTTTGAAGATCAAGCAGGTACTTCTCCTCCCGAGTTTTAAAAAGCTGTTAAGACCCAAAACAGCGGCAAAATATGTGAGCATTACGTTCTGGATAGATACTCGAGCAGTGGACTCCGTTGATACCAAACACAACAGTGGATTGATGACCAAATAGAATTAGAGAAAGTATGGGATTAAGGAGCGATCTAACAAAAACTATTACCTGTACTTCAAATTTGACCACATTTGGCATCCTCATAACACCATCATTTTCGATGATGCTGGATTCATCTCCAAAATAATTGTTACTGTGCACAGAATTGTCGATCATGCCTTCATTATGACCTGGAGTGCCAGCAACCCACCTACACTTCATGTTGTAGTGTCCTATCTTCTTCCAACACACCTGCAATTCTTGTAAAGCTTTAAGGACTTCTGTCATTATTTCACGAGGATGTGCTCGAGACTGGCAATAAAAGGCAGCAATAGATCAACAACAATCATATTAAGTCTGAAGTTCACAATGTACAGAAGAGTCCTCCTCCCAAATAACTTAGCCAGAAAGCCAAAGAAATTTAACCTGAAGTCCAAGAGCCCATTTCCTTTCAACAGGGAACTGTGGTCTAAAACCCATTCCTTGATACTCCATATATCCAGGAAGGCGGTGCCCAACAGGTGAAGCAGCAGTCTCACTTTGCTGCATACGATTGAAACCACAATCCTGGACCATATCAACAAAAATGAAACACAAATCCAAATGGTGCCAAATCTTAACGGAAACTGAACAGCAGAGAAAAATATATGTTGAGCGTGATAGAAACAGTTCAAGCTTTTCAATAAATTTCCTCTATCATGTTATGTATATCTTGGCACATATTATGTTTGTACACAAATCTATCATATTCCTGTTTCCGATGCTGTAAAAGTTTCCCCTAGCTTCTTTCATGTTGTTAGATTATGGCCAACAGGTTTAGTTTTGGGCTTCAAAAGAGGAAATTTTGTTTTCTAACCAAGCCGCCGGTATAATATCGAAAACGGAGGACACATACCACAGTCTCCTGAAATTCAGCTCCAAGATAGCCACTGGATACACGGAAACGGTTGTCCAATAACAAATAGTATGCAACTGTTCCCTGAAACATGATGCAGATGGTAAGTCTCAGTTGGAAAATCAAGAGGATGAGTTCCAAAGGTACAAACCTCATTTTGTACTCTACCACGAAGCGACTCAACCAGAAGGTTCCTGTCAAATCCCATCTTAACTACCTCCTGAAGAATTTCTTCATCAATCTGCATAAAGAAAGGTGCCACTTGAAGAACTTATGATAATAGACAGAAGAAACCATAAAATTCATTATAACTGCAATTTACAAACGTTAACAGAAGAAAGGAACCTTTTTTGCTTGTTGCATGGTGTCTGGTGGAGAAACAGCTAAATAACGAGGAAGATGAGCCTGGAACCATGCATGCTGACGAATCTCAGGGATGGTCATTCGCTTCATTGGATCAACTACGAGCATTCTTGGAATCAAGTCTCTTGCACCAGGTGACAAATGACTAGGAAGAGTGTATATCCCACCCTGAAGACAAAATGGTGTGGGTTTAGGTCAGCTAACTAATAATCTGCAAGCATATAACTATTTGATTCATGATAGTGAATGAAAAAATTGATTGTCAGTGGACACAAAAACCAAAAGCATAAACAGAATTAGATCTTAATGTAATTTGAAAACAAAAGAAAAAATATCAGATGAAAACTGAAAAACCAATTTTATAGTAGTAAACAAAAGAACCAGATCTAGCAATACCTTTATTTTCTTAAACAAGTTAGGAATATTTTCATCATCAAATGGAAGCGTGCCACAAAGAAGAGCATATAGTATAACACCACAACTCCACACATCCACTTCAGGCCCAGCGTACAGCTTGCCAGAAATAACCTACGAAAGATGTAAGTGATGTATCATTGGAAAGAGAAATCAAGCCAAGATACAAAAATAATGTATGCAAACTACTTCAAAATAATGTGAAAGACATCCAACTACAATCCTTATACCTCTGGAGCAGCATAATTGGGGCTGCCACAACTTGTCTTGAGAAAATGGCCATCACGCATTACGTTGCTCAGACCAAAATCAGCAATTTTCACATTGCATTTGGAATCCAAGAGCAAATTTTCTGGCTTTAAATCTCTATGAACAACCATATTCCTGTGACAATACTCTACACCAGATATTATCTGCCAAAAAAAATATAACTCATATTATTAGCAAAAACAATAGTAAAATAAATACAACAAGACAATTGACAAATCACCTGTTGAAAAAAGTTACGAGCTTCATCTTCCTGCAGCCTACCCTTCTCTACTATATAATCAAAGAGCTCCCCGGACTTCACATACTCCATCACGACATAAATGTCAGATGGTGTTTCAATGACCTCATAGAGCCGTATAATGTGAGGATGCATAAACAATCTCAATATTTTGATTTCTCTTCTCACTGCATCAAATTTAAGGGGAACAGGGAAGGATAATACAACCAAATACAATGCTTTAATATTCTGAATTCAAGACAGAACTCTTAAGAAGAAAAGACAAATGATCAAATTCAATCATCGGTTTACAAAGATAGAGGGCTAACCTTTCTCTTCCATTTCCAAGTTCTTTATCTTGCGGCGGTTAAGGATCTTGATAGCAACTTTATGTCCAGTTAATGCATGCTCTGCAATTTTAACCTTTCCAAAAGAACCAATACCAAGAGTCTTTCCGAGCTTGTAATTTGGTAAATAAGTATCCGCACTGCTGCCACCAGTCCATCCATTTTTCCTAATCTAAATGTACATCAAATATTCAGATAAACGTACAAGAGATAACACCAGTTTTTACATTCACATTAGCCATCCTCATGGTCATGGTTTGCGGGGAGAGACCATACCAAATTCATGTGATACGACATGCACCAACATATACATGAAATTTAAGGTCTTACAGTAATGTCAATATATAATTTTAAAAGATATCTCTTAGTCATCAGTCAAATAATAAAATATCGAATATACACACAGGGATTTATAAAAAAATATATATAAATTCAAGAACCGATAATTGTATAGTACATATCCTCACTTTTAATTGGATCCTATTTTATTTTTTGTTTTATTTTTCCAACAAATCCCCACTGGTTCCATATCTCACACCCTTCTCTCTTTCTACTCCGGCTCTCTACTCTAGCTACCAGTTTTTTATTCTTCAAGTGCACAAATCGAATTACTTAAACCCCACAAGATTTGGAAAAGCAATGCACCACACTATTACTTCATAACAAACATCTTATCAATAAGTTTGCAAGTACAGATGAAATTCACATCGAAACGTTTTCGAATGGTCAAAGCAATGATAAAAGTAGGCAACTTTGATTGGAGCAGAAATTTCACAACACATAATCAACATAAAAGTTTAAATTTTGACATTACTCCAGCAGACATCACAAGAGCAATAAGCTATCTATCTTGAAAAGCCCTCCCATCCCTGATTTCGATACATCAGTCATCCAAAAATCTCAAAAACACAGTAAGGAAGATAAACAACAGGGAAAAAACAGAAATTGAAGAACCCCACTTTCAAATTGGAAACAGAAAACCAATTTCACACAAACCCATCAGTGAAACCTTCAATCACAATAGAGAAATAAAAATTCCCAATTTTTACAATTTCTGTAACATTTTCCCCCAATTTTTCCAATAGCTGCCTAATTCCAAAGAAACCCAGGTGCACCAGATCTCAAAAACTATCCATAAAACACACACAATTAACAATAATACAAACCAACACACATTCATGCAATTCTACTCAAACAGACAACACAGAAAACAGGAGAGAGAAAGTAGAGAGAGAGTTACAGAAAATTAAATCCGCAATTGAAGTCGCAAATACGCAAGGCGAAAAGGGTTCCTGCCTTCGAATTGGATTGAGCAAACTGCGGTCGGAGATACCCAGAAATCGAAAAAAGGGAGACGCAGATGGGCTCCTTGTCGTCTTTATTCTTTCTCGCTTCGCTTCCGGACTTTCACTCACTCCGCCACCGAGCCCATCACCAACTTGTATTAATCTAATTTACTAATCTTAATTAGTTCCTCATCAAATGACTGATTCGCCCATGGGATTTGGTGAAACGACGGTGAAGTTCCCATGAGTTGGTGTTGTATTGCGGGGGTAAAATGGACATTTTACTCGATTGGGTTTGAAAATTTCTTCTTCTCGGTATTGACTCTTACATTTTTTTTTTTTTGGAAAATTAATGAAAAATGTATGAAAAGTTTGAGTTTTAACGATAACGATAAAATAAATAGTAGCATGATTGACTTTTTAGTTTTAAAATGTGATTTTTCGTTAAAGTAAACAGTACCGAAGGTTTACGTTAAAGTTCTTTTTTTTTTTTTTTTACAAATTTTTTCTGTCAACTTTCTTGACATGAAATCGAAGTTTTTAGTTTTACGTAACCGAAATAACTAATTTTTGAATAACTAGTAGGAGATAGCGATGATGTTTACTGTCAGGAGAGGGATTCGAACACAAAACTTCAGGTGTAAAGACGAATGCTCCATTTTGCAGTTCATTCACCCCTACATTGCTACAAGTTTCAAGACGTCAGCCAGCCGGCCGCAGATTCGTTCACCCCAGCTAGGGTGTTTCATTCTCACAGTTTCAATAAAACACTGAAAAAATAGGTATAATTTGGCTACAAGAATATGAACTACAAAGTTCTGCTGGATAAACAGTTTTACAACCTACATGCCGGAGAAAATACCAACACAATGAACTATGTATGCGTGTGCGGCTTCAATAGCAACGAGTCACATAACAACAAGTAAATGGAAAAGAAGTTACATATGGACCGTTCATGTGTTCTATACAACGTGGATTTTACAAGACCGTGTCCGTCGCTGCAAGCATTATTTGGAAATTTGGAGGCAAAAGCCCTCTAGTAGTCCGGAATGGAGGCAAAACGGTATCCTTTTGCACCTCTCCATGCATAATATGCAATTCGTGTCTCATAAAAGCCTGCGGATCATAACATTTATAAGAAATCACTCAGTCAATCCGCGTACTGATACATGTATGAAGTATTTCAGAAAATGTATCCAGATAGCCAATTGCCAGACTCAGAAATATGGTTTTATGCTTGGGGTGTGCTATCCACATACCCCATTTTACTTCTCACACACTCTTTGATAATTTTTGTCCGTTGATCTTCTTCAATTCATCCGATCTGACGGCCGAAAATTAAAAAGAAGTGTGAGAAGTAAAATGGCGTGTGTGGATATCACACCACTTATGCTTTACCCCTATGCTCGAGTATTTACATCACAGCGGAAATTCAACATAAGAATTTGGGCACGAAAAAGTCATATGAAGTTATCCATTCTAGAATCTAATCCCGCCTACATTAGCATTCACCATATTGTCAATCAGTCATATTAACTGTTTGTTGTCACAAAAGACAATTATAGATAAAGAATGAAATGGAAATATCTTTTGACTAACCAGGGAGGAAGGTGAGGATTCCGAGCGCCAAAAGGCCATAGGCTTGAGTCAGCTCCCCTCCCATGTGACCGGTGAAAATGAAGTATGAAAGAAACAGAAGCAAAGATCCAAGAGAAAGCAAGAAAAGAGCAAGAACTATGGATTTCCATGGGATTTTATCAAAGGACTTTGGCGTGTAGTCAAACCGAGGGTCATTGGGTCTTCCATAAAGATCATCATCATCATCCGTAGCAAGAGGGCTGTAATGAACATTGCGCCTAGATGACATCACCAAGGATGTTCAATAAGACCTGAAGATCAAGAACAGAGCTGATATGAATGCAAGGTATACGATCAGGTAAACTTTTACTCACGAACAAATATGCCATCACCAAGGATGTTCATCGAGACCTGAAGACACACAAGGTTTAACTTTTTTCTAACACAAGAAAGTAAAATGTAAGATATGAATGCAAATATGCAAACACAGTGAAATGTGAAAAAGGTTAACAGATACAATTGCTAAAACTGAAATTCTCTCGCAATGCATATGGGAAAAATGAAAAAGAAACTCAAATTGCATTGTCAAGTTACAAAACTGCAAAATCCGCAATTAAGGTGGCATCAAAAATGTCGAAAATCCATAAACCATGTGACCGAAACTTGACAATGCATGCTTCTTTCTTCTCAGAACGAAGAACAATAAGTTGGGTTTCCTCCTCCCAGGATTCAAAGACTACCTTATCGAATTCTATAAGATTGTATACGATCATGTACACTCCTTTGAACAAGGAAATAAAACTCTCCACACAAACACAGAGAATCAGTTTTAAGAACAGAATCATTGGCTGGAAGAAAAAGTACAAAAATTTGCAGAACAAAAGAAAATTATGTTCAATTCTTCATATGAAAAGCCGAATGAAGGATCAAATTTCAAGTACTTAATCTGACAAGCCCCATAAGTACCTCGATTAACAAGTCAATTAACGTTAATCATAATACAAAAATAAAAGGAACAAAAGTACCCAATAAAACCAGCTGCAAAAGATCTCAGAAACTACCAACAATAACAAGCATACGAACCACACATTCATGCAATTCAACACAGACATTACAGAAAACAAGAGAAAGGAAGTAGAGAGAGAGAGTTACAGAAAATTAAATCCGAAATTGAAGTCGCAAATACGCAAGGCGAAAAGGGTCACTTCGTATTGGATCGAGGAAATTGCAGCCGCAGAGACCCAGAAATCGGAAAAAGGGAGACGCACGCTCGCTTCGCTTCCCGACTTTCACACGCTCCGCCACTCCGGTTCTGTAAGCAAAGGGGATCACACGCTCAGCCGTTGGATAGGCTTTAATGAGGTTGTGCGGCTGAGATTACATAGGCCATAGAACCTTTTTTTCCTTTTTCCTTTTTTTTTTGTCATTTCCCATTTGCCCTTTCTTTTTTTTCTTTTTTTTTTTTGCATTATTTGCACTCTATTTCGTGTCATTAACCTAAAAAACGAAGCAACTAGGTCTAGTTATCGTATGAGTTAACTCGACCAAAACGCATAATATATATATGAAACCAAGGACTCAACCTACATGAAACGTAAGAACTCGGAGATATACATGCAGGATTTCCAACCCTACAGAAGGAAAATGACGGATAATTAAGAACTGGAAGATTATGTTTAACGCACATGAAGTTTCCAAGCAATCTCTTGAACAAACTTGAAGTTCGGTTTTATACTTTGATCAGCATATTAATTCTGAAAAGCTTCTGCCCCTCCCCAATCCATATGCTGATATGCTCTTGCTGTCATTTCTCATACATCGATTGCGTAGCTAGAATTTGAAAACTTTACTTAATTATCATTAGGTTCGAATTATTGGTTGCTAATTTCGGTCATGCGTGCATATATATATCTCAACCAATTGTAAAAGTGTAACAACTTTATTGAGGGCCGTATTATAATAATATGTGTAACTTCCCAATATCAACAGTATCAAAAATAGTGACACGATATAAATGTAAATAATATATTGACCAAATAAATAGTATCCGCATTTTCTTTAAATGTGGCTAACCAGAACCTAGAAACCCTCTTTCTATACACACATATTATGTACATTGGGTAATGTTAGGAATGCTAAATTTCAACATGAAAATTTGTAAACTAAATGATGTGTTTGTTGATGATTGAATTATTATTTAATTGTTTATCATCATGTTTATTATTAAGTGTTGATTAACGTGCTTACTTTCTATTGCTTAATGTGCTCTCTTATTCTATATGAGTAACGCTAGGAAGATTAAATTTGTAGACAAAGTTTTAAAAACTAAAGGACATGGAATTTGATGATTAATTTATTACTTACACGTTCATAAACTTGCTTATTCTTATTGCTGACACGTCATTTAGTTCACAAATTTAACCTTCAAATTTGATCTCCTTAGCATTACTCATTCTATGTATATGAGAGGCATCGATAGATCATCGTTATAGATTATCCTATTCTTGACGTGAATCTCATGAAAAAATGGCACTAACATCTCCATCGATCTTTATTCATGCCACTCACAGCTTACAGTTTAACCAAAATAATATCACAGCTTTCAGAAAAAAGGCCTATCTAGCTTTTCAGCACTTCAACTGCTTATACGGTGTTAGGTTTGCCCTACTTACCTCACCACTTTAATTAGCATGACTTCTGATGTCCCATGCATGGGGATCCATTGTCCGAGCTTAAGCCAAACTTTTCGTCTTGTATATAATATTTGCAACTTGTAAAAAAGAAAAGTAACCATAAAAAGGTTATATAATATAAAATATAAGGAAAATTCGATGAAAAGTATGGTGAAATTTCATGGATGTTGCAATTGTAACTTGTAAGCATTGATAGCAGTTGGTGTTTTCATCCAAAAACAGGTATAATTTTGTGGACTTGTGAGTCTGTGAGGCCAGAAAAGAGCAAAGAAGAAGAACAAGTAGGGAAACAAAAGCAGCTGGATGGACCTGTAAAACCATATAATTGTGCAATTGTCACATTAATATAGCATGAGTTACATGTGTGACCATGTGGCCCATGCCAATTCACAGCACATTGAATTTTTGATAGGTTGAGAGAAAGAAAAAAATTGAAATAGATTATGTATACTCTTTACGGATTATTATACAATGAACCAATCGTTAAATAACAATGTTATACACATATATTAGCAATATTATTGTTACATTCTCCAACCAAAGTAAGTCTTGGCCTGTATTTCACATGACACATTCTCGGTTTGATTCCTAACGTTGGTGAATCACACAATGGTGGCCAGAGAAAGCTCAAATGCTTCTATGAGTCTTTATGACCCTAAAAAGAGTGACTATCGTGACGAAACTTACTTGATTAGAAAGTATGTTAACAATTTGGTCCTTAACTACATGTTAACACACTTGATTTTGCAGTTTTCAAAAGCTTAGACCAAGATGACGGATTGAGATCTTTAAATTCCATTTGACTTATAAACACATGGAAGTCGACATAATTAAACTAGGAACTGATAACAATTAGAATATTAGA